GAGAGACTGAATGGCAAAATTGAAATATGGGTCAAATTGCGGCCGCGATCTATTTTGCAGTTGGAATGATTTTTTTTAATTTATTTAGCATTTTTCTTGGAAGGATCACAACAAAATCTACGAGTACTCCGAGTTTCAGGTTTTTTCACGCATTCTTCTGAGCGTGAAAGCTCACTGAATTTGGAGTACTTTTTTAGTTGGCCCAGGCATGGCTGAGTGGCAAAAATGGAAAATGTGCCGAATCGGTGCGGCGATTATTTCGTAGTGTAAATGATTTTTTGTAAATGTTCTATTATTATTTCAGTGTAAATGATTTTTTGTAAATGTTCTATTATTATTTCTGGATAGAACACGACCTCATCTATGGATTCTCCAAATTTCAGATTTTTGTGCATGTTCGTCTGAGCACAGAAAATTGCCAAAGTTGCCTCTTGCAAAACACCTATTTCGTTGTGCCTGACCTCCCTGTTTTGAGAAAACGGGGCTCAATGCCTGGGTCTGAGGGCCCTTTTGCAGTTCACATGCCCACACTTCCTTTTGGGGTCCGCTTCTACCCGGGGACCGGTGCAATGCCCCCACTTCTTTTTGGGGTTCACTTCCACCCGAGGACTGGTCCTTCCTTTTTCCAAAAGTCCCAATTCTGAAAAACCTAGCTGTAGGTAGTCCACAATTTTGCCAAGGACCGGTCCCCAAGAAACATTTGTCCCCTAAGAACCCACTTTGCGTCCTGGTCACCCGCCACCGAAAATGCGACACCTTGACACAGACGTGGAAGCACACTATACCGCAGCCTAAGGGCTGCGAACAGCAAAAGCTCACACCTGACAATGTTGGAATAGTCTCATCATCATCAACAATGAACCAATGTCGACTTCCTATCTGGCGCTCAGTGCGCAGACCACAAATGGCAGATCCTATCTAGCCTATCTACAATGCCGCTGGTGACGTCAACAGCTCCCCGAAGTACATCTCGGCCAATGCCGTTCGCCTCAAGCACCAGGTATGTCTCACGCATCACTCACAACCTCGATCCCCCACACAGATGCCACGTGCACCCAACGACCACCATGCGCCCCATCCAGCATCTCGCAGGCCAGCTCGGCTATGGCTGCCTGCGTGTGCCCTGCAGCGCGTGGGCGCTTGCCAGCTGATTGCCCAAGCAGCGCTTGCGCAGCATGTAGCAAGTGCCCGAATGCCAAATGCGGAGGCAGGCATTTTCCTATATGGAAGTGGCCTGCCTGCTGCATGCTGCCTGGCTGCATTGGGCCCCTGCCCAGAATCTTCCGGTAGGCCTCAAGTGTCTGAGCCCCGGTCCAGGAGAATCAGGCACAGGGCCTGGGGTGGTTACCCATGTCCAACTGCCAGTCGTCTGCGCGCAGTCCATGTCCCATGTCTAGCCCAGGGCCTGCCTCAGATACATTTGAAAAAGGCAGGCAGGGCCTGGGTTCTCTCAACCAACTGGCGCTGCGCAACTGCCTGAATTTCCCATTTGCGTGGAAAGCCCGAAATAGGCCTGCCTTCACTTAGGGCGGCCGATATTGCTGAAAACAGGGCCCGGTAGGGCTCATCGAGGCCTTGAGCCTCGCACTTACATTATTTTATTTTTATTTCAAATTCTCAGCCAAAAGTTGTTTGGTTTGCTATTCTGCACAACATTTTTTTTTTTTTTTTTTTTTTTTTGTGGTGGGATATGGGCCGGGATCCCGCCCGGCCCAGTTGCCCGACCGGGCGTCCCGGGCAGGTCCCGTGCCAGCTTTGTGGACCCGAGCGGCACGGCTGGTAGCCCAGATTGGAACTAAAAGAAAGGCAAAAATAAAAATAAAAAAAGGAACACCCCATCACTCCCTGGGCTTGCTGTTGTTAACAGTGATGACAATCCCTCTTACAGTCCGATACCCTTTTTTTTTGTGTGATTGAACTGGATGCTTATGTGTGCAGCAGTGATGAGAGGTTGGTGGACGATGTCTGCGAAGTTAGGCAAAGAGGAGAGGCCAACTGTGGTACTCTGCTATTGCCGAAGGATCTTCCGCAGAAGATGGCGACGGTGATGAAGGGAGGCTGTTTAGGGAGAGGATAAGAGATGGGGAAGTGGGAGGATAAGAGATGGGGAAATGGGAGGATAAGAGAAGGCAAGCGCACGATATACAGACCTGGGTTCAAACTCGATGAGAAACAAACAGAACATGGTGGCGTGTACTCAGTGGAGAGGCAGAATGATTGATGATTCTTTACTGCCATCTGTCAATTCTCTTTAGTGATCCAAGTGTCTACTCATCTTGTGTAGGCAGATTTGGGAGAGGGGGAGGAGGTCTGCTCGATTGTCGGAAGAAGTCTAAAATTACAGCAAGCTAGAAGAGGGGGGGGTCAGGGGGAGAGGGGGGGAGGGGGGGCAGGGAGGGATGTGGAGGCGGTGGGGTGAAAGGAGGAAGGCGAGCAATACATAGACAATATATATTGTCATTCATTCTTTCTTTTGCGCTCTGATATTCATGTGACGATATATATAGATATATAGATATATAGATATATTGTCAAACAGAACTGCCGACGGTAAAGCGTAGGCAGAGAGGGAGAGGGCAGGGAGGGATGTGGAGGCGGTGGTGTGAAAGGAGGAAGGCGAGCAATACATAGACAATATATATTGTCGTTCATTCTTTCTTTTGCGCTCTGATATTCATGTGACGATATATATATTGTTAAACAGAACTGCTGACGGTAAAGCGTAGGCAGAGAGGGAGAGAAGAGGACAACAAACGAGGGGCTGTGACAAAACTGTTTCGCCGGCGTTTCACTGACTGACTGACTCATCAGCAGGAGGCTGAACCTTCTACAGTCTGCAGAGTCCCTTGACCAATTACATTGCAAGTGGTAATCCACCTTAACCCCGGTTGTGGTTAAGCATCGACGACTGCCCAACAACTGTTACCCTTCTGAGGTGGTGGGGACCACCAACCACTTCCCCTTCAAGGTAGCTGTGTACATATATTGTCATTCTGTCTGCAGACAGAGAGACAGACAATGGAATTGGCAATTGAAGCTTCGGTAGCCATCACTGCGGCCAAGGTACAGGTGCTTTTGCGTAATCGGGACGAAGTGGATGCTTTTCAAGAGCTTGTAGAGGGTTATGGCTTCTATTTGGGCCTTGCGACGGAGGCGGCGGGTCGTGTTTGTGTACTAGAGAAGAAGCTTGTGCAAGTACAAGATGACAGGGACACAGTGGCTGCGGTCCTCCAGCGGACTGAACGAACGATTCAGAGGTCTCCGGACATCGATGCTCTGGAGGCGAAGGTCGAGGCATTACAACAAGATCTGGGCCAAAGCTACAAGGCAAGTGCAGAAGTGTCTCAGCAGCTCGTGCAGGCCAGCAGCCTTGCGCAGTCCCTTCGCGAGGAGTTGGAAGAGAAGAAGAAGGTCGTCGTGAATCTTCAGGAAAGCCTCGCCGTGGCCGACGCCAAGGTTGATTACCTGGAGGGTGCGCTGAAGGAAAAGACAAATGCCGTAGAGCTGACATCAATGGAGGCAGAGGCAGCACTAAGGGAGAGGATCGAAGTAGAGGAGAAACTTAGGATTGCGGAGGCCGAGAACCGCAGCTTTGTGGATAAGCTGATGGAGTTTAAGTTGAAAGAGGCGGAAAAGATCAATGAACTCAATGCCATGTACGAAGATATGGTGAAGCAGTTCCAAAGGACCCAACTCCAGGTAATGAAAAAACAGGGGTACCTTTCTTTCTGCGGTTTGTTTGGAATAAACTTTTTTTTCAATGAATTCTCTCTCTCTCTCTCTCTCTCACACACACACACACACACACACACACACACACACACACACACACAGACATACACACACACACACACCACACACACGCATACACACTTTTTTTGTCTGTCTAGCTTGTAATTATTGTTTGTCCTTTGTCTTATTTTTTTCCAAGTATTTTTGTGTGCCCAACTGAGCACCCTCAAGCAGTGCCAAACAGTCGGTCATTCCTTGTCTGGAGTGCCTACAGCACTCTTAGGGGGGCCGCTCGGTTCGGGATGTCTGTGTTGCCTGTGGGTGATGACGGATGCTCCTCGGAGTGTCTCCCTGCCCGTCTGCCTCCCCCATGCGATCCACGCTATGGCTTTCGCTTTACTGTCTTTCGTGCCTTGCTGCTTTGTGTGTCTTTTGTCTGCCTGCCCACCCGCCTCCCCCTTGACCTCCGACCTTTGTCCCTTGCTGCCTGCTGCGTGTTCGTTGACGTGTTGTTTTCCACCCTTTGCTCTACTATCTTCCGGTGCTTGTTTGGTTGGCCTTCGCATGACTTTTTTTTGCGTTCCTTTCACGGACATAGAGGGTTGCGGGCGTTTTTCATGTGTTGTTTATAACCATACCCTTCAACACAATATGCCGCGGCAGTGTCGGTGAGGTTTGACATGCATATAAGTAAACACACACACACACACATACACATAGCTAGAAAGCAAAAGAAATGTGTCGGTGGCGGTTCGACAAAGCTTGCTGCGCCCGGGTGTACTGGTGGTTTAAGGGTGAGCGACCAATTTAATGGAACTGCTGGGCTCTTCCAAGTAATTTCTTTTCTTTTCTTTTCCTTTTTTTTTTTTTTCATCCAGTCTTCCCTCAACCTTGAGGCAATACCTCACGTTTTTTTTTTTTCTTTCAATTCGGCTGTGCAAGGAAAATGCGCAATGGCGAGATGACAATATCCAGATTTGCACAATCACATTGAAAGCCAGAAAGTTTCACTGTGTCCAGAAAGCAGCATTGCACCAATATGAATGGATTCACGCTGTAAGCTTTCCCAGTCCCGGTCCTAGGGTCCCTAATTACCACAGTCCAGGCCCCACTTGTTTAGAGTCTTAGGGCCTGTAGGATTCGACACCGTAGGTCGGTAGGCTACAGTACCGTACAGTACCGTACAGTACCGGTAGGAGCACGTCAAGTCCCCAAAAGTAAACTTTTGCATCAGCCTCACAAGAAAGTCGGGAAATTTCCCAAAATAGCGATTGGCAAGGCAGAGGCTGAAGGAAGTCAGTACGGGTTGAAGCTGGCACGAAACAGTCCACTACAACTATATATCTTGGACTGCAGTGCCGGGGGCAGTCAGTTGTTCATTTCGCAAATTTGTAGAAGCGCTGTTGGGAGCTTGTGCAGACGAGCGACCTGGACGAAGAAGAAGGCTGAAGGGAGGAAGAAGACCAACACCCTGGCTGCAACAGACCACCATAGCCAGGAGGGAGGAGACGGAGTGGTTGGCGGCCGCAACCGCCCGTTGCAGTGAGACACACCGCAAAGGCATTCAGGGTAGATCCGGGACATTGTAGAGAGAGGAACAGTGAGTGAGGAACAGTGAGCGAGGAACAGTGCAAGTGAAAGAGAGAGAAGTAGACTATATATAGAGAGAGAGAGCGAGAGAGAAAAGAAGAGAATACAGGAGGGAGTAAGGAGTGTTGCAGCGGTTGAAACCGCTTATTCCCGAACTTTTTCAAGTGTATATTATTGTGCTTTGAGTGGAACTTCAAATTTGCACTGTTCATGGACACCGCTCAAGCTTGTGTGGACGTCATCTCAATGTTCTCAATTGCATGTTGTATATTGAGTTGAATCTTGCGAGGTTCATTGCACTGGTATCGAAGCTGGAACCCGTTGCACTGCGGTGGTGGAAGAAAGCCGGCAAGGCATAAGGCCGGCGGGTGTGTGTGTGTCGGGGTTTCACTGTAGCAGTCGAGAAGAAAGAAAAAGGTGCTGCATTAAGATTGGAGCGGGATCTACGTACCTGCAGCAGACCAAGATCGGTGGGGAGCGGCATCGTGAAGACCCAAGTGAAGTGCTTTCTGCCCTCAGCCTTGCCTGTTGAATCATTTTGCCGCTTTTTGTGAAAATTCCACGGTGTACTTTTTTGGTAATGGCTGCTGCTGCTCGAGTACTGTAGACGTCATCCCGTCAAGTTCGAGTTAGACCACAATTCAAGTAGACAAGTGTTGAGATTAGGAGGTTGAAGGGTAAGTCTACGTGGTGAGGAGGTGGAGCACACTTACCGCCGTACTGATATCTCGCCATGGATGATTACCCAATGTTTGCACTCCTCTTTCTGTCGGTCATATGGCGGCCCCTTTTGCAATTTATTTTTCCGCTGGGATTCCACCGGACCACTAGGATGACGGTAGTCACAAAGTCCGACAAAGTCACTAAGCCATACACAGCGGAGGAACAGGCGGAAATAGATCGGCGGTTGAAAGAGAAGGAGGAGGAGAAAGCAAAGAAGATGGAGGAAGAGTTGAAGAAGAAGATGGAGGAAGAGAAGAGGAAGATAGAAGAAGAGATGCGAAAGCAGCTGGAAGAAGAAAAGAAAAAGATTGAAGAAGAAGAGGAGACATTGGAGTTGTGTGTGCAGGCCGGAGAAGAGGGTGTGGTGGAGTACGTGCTTCCCAGGGCAGAAGAAGTAGGATGCAATTATGAGTCAGCCCTCAAATTGGATCAAGAGGATTCTGCAGTCTGGGCCGCTCATTTTGTCTTTGAGCCGGAGCCGCTTGAAGATGAAACGAAGGAGGAAATCGAGGCATTTGAAGCACAACTGCAGCTGGTTGATGCAGAGGAGAGGGCAATAATGATAGAAGAGAGGGAGGCGTTGGTCAAAACAAGGCTGGCGGCACAAAAAAGGAGAGAATATGGAGAGAATAAGAGATTGAAGGAGGAGGGAGAAGCGTTGCGAAGGAGGATGGAAGCGCAAAAAGAACAACCAGAAGACAGACAAAAGACTCACCGTCCTCACAGGCGCCGTGCTCCATTCCACACGGGAGACCGCTACGCTTCGAAGAACGGTTGAGAGGATGGAGGCAGTGCAGGAAGATATGAAGGGCAAGTGGAGGCATTTTGAAGTGGATTCCTTCAACAGGATCAATGAGAGGACAACCACTTACGTAGTCCAGCTAGAGGAGCTAGCTGCAAAGAAGATAGCCCGTACCATCACGAAAGAGAGGGCCCTGAGCGGAAATGGAAAGGTCATGGGACGAGGAGAGCTGATCAAGAGGGAGAAGCTCCCTGACACGTATTTTGGGAAGAGAGCGGAGAGTTTTGACTGTTGGGAGTCGACAATCCAATCGTATGAGTACGCCCAATGTATCCCGGAGGAAGACAAAGTTCTGATGACTCATTCGTGTCTAGGAGGCGCTGCTGCGGATTTCGCATTGTCGCTGGCTAACGCAGCAGGCTGCGGTCGTGATATGGTGGCTTACTCGAAGAGAACCGCTCTCCGTACCTTCCTAGATGCGATGCGCAACCTCTTCGAAGACAAGACTAAAGCCATCAGGACCGCTGACAAGCTTAACAGCATCCATCTCCGAAAATGGAAGAGTGTGTCGGCCTTGAATGCCACAATGGATGAGCTGTTACAGATCCCAGGTCATGGACTGACTCCTGAGCAGATTTTGAACAACTTTGCCAGAGCTCTCCCCGATCCCATCAAGAGCAACCTCTATGCAAGGTCAAGGAGGATGGGATGACCTACGACCAATTTAGCAAGATGGCGGTGGATCAGGTTGGATTTCTCCAAGAAGCAAATTGTCATTGGTACAAAGACTTGGAGAAAGGAAAGCATTGGAAAGGTAAGACTATTGCGGGAAGTATTTCGGGCAAGGACAACCTAGCAGTGATGTTTGAAGAAGGAGGTTGTGAGGCCCTAACTTATGATCAAATTCAGTATGGATTGGATGAGGATAGTGGTGAAGTCCAGGGAGGTGATTTCGCTGCTGTAGTCCGCGGGGGTGGACGAGGAGGAAGAGGCAGCCGAGGTAGAGGAGGCCGTGGTTGGGGTGGAAGAGGACGTGGCTATCAGGGGGAGTGCAGCAATGGAGGTTGTGCAGAGGGAGGTAGGGGTTATGGACCCCCACAAGGTAGCACCGGACGAGCCCCCCGACATCAAGGCGGGGGTAGAGGAAATTACAACCTCGCCAACAATGGCAATGTAGGTGGCAGAGGAAGGGCACCGTGCAAATATCCATGGCACCCTGGACGTCCAGAGGGGGAACCATGAAAGGAATTGAACATGACATACGGATTGTGGGCCAAGAGATTCAAAGAGGTGACCTGCATCAAATGTGGAGAGGCAGGCCATATAATCCCTTGGTGCCCTGAGTTCCGGTCTGCCTCAAAAGGCAACAACCGGTAGGAGTGGCAGCTGCTCCTGCTGGGGCCTTGGGTACATCACAAGAAGCGCGCGCTGCAAGAGTAACCTCCAACCTGAGGACCCCGACAACATAGGCTGATGTAGGCCCCCACCTAGATAGTTGTCTGGAGATTGTTTGTGCTAGGGTCTCTCTAGGTCGCTCTCTCGCAGGCATTGGTGATGAGCTGATCACTCGTCGCCCCGCCTGGGCTGAAATGAAGAAGAGAAGAGGGCAGCTGATTTTGGCAGACGTAGAGATTAGCCAAATGCAAGTGAGAGCTTTATTGGATAGTAGCTCTACGCGTAGTTTCATTAGTAGAAGAGGACTGAAGAAGTTGCACTTAGGAATGAAGGTGCAGAGGTTGAGTGAGCCAGTAGTGAGTAGACTGACCGATAATCGCGAGATGAGAGTGGAGGAGTACGTCGAGGGGATCAAGGCATACTTCCGGTTAGAGGAGGGAAAGAAGGTAGAAAAGGTTTTGCATTCCCTTACCGTCTTAGTGGAGGACAACATTCCCTTTGACCTGATTTTAGGGAC